GAAGAAAACCATCTGCACTGCAAGGCAGGGAGGAAAACAAGGGCCTCAGACTGCAGTACAGAGTCTGGACATAGCATGTTTCTGGCCAACAAGGCTGTGAAGATCTGTGAGAGAGTGCCTGGGATGTTGTATTTCTCAGAACAGTTTAGAAAGTTTCTGCCAGGAATGGCACAGTAGTGTTCCTCTAAGACAAACTACAGTACGACATCTGAGGTCCCTTTCTGCTGTTACAGTACAACAGATATTAAACTTGATCTAGTGTGTGGAGCGTGCGATGTGGAAAAAGACTGAAAAACGCTAGCTCAAACTGTCTCTTTTCTGTCTTCCTCTCCATCATCATACATTCATCTTTGCAAGTGACCTTCGAACGTGTAGCTTTGTCATTTACATTCTCTATCACAGCAGCCAGGATTTGTCCAGGGACATTTATACCTTGATTCTCAGCAGTTGACCTACTCCCAAATGGGTAAACATCTCTTTTCCAAGATGTCTGTAGGCTCTCATTAAAAAAATACCTGTGCTTAATCAGAGAGACTTATGATCACTGGTAACTGTTGAGCAGGCAAATTACAAAAGGAACTTACTACCAACTTTTTGTTTTATTTGTGTTCCAATAGATACATATTCTTCCATGAATTGTCATCCTGGACTTCTGGACAAAGAGACAGTAATAATAACAATAATAGCAATAAAGATCAAAACCTTGTACTGAGATTAGGAAAATCAATTAAATGAGTTTCTGAGGCATGAAAGCACCTCAGAATGTGTCTTCCTATCCTTTCTCATTCTGCTCTACTATTTACAGCTGTATGCACTCAAAAAAAAAAAAAAAAAAAAAAAAGTTAACTGAAAATAGAAACATAAATATAACCTAGAATCAACATGTAATCACCAGAAGGCCAGTGCAGTTTGTAGTTTCAATAGGTTAACACCTATTAGGTTAAGGTAAGTTTAAAACATCGTTACTTATCCCACCAAGGCATGCATTTCACTAATGAATGTAAGACCCATACAGTGGGAAACTTCACCATGACTCCAATTTGTTATATGCTAGATAATTGGAGGCAAAATATTTTATTTTTTTCTGGTGATGATGCATCCTAATGGGCCATCTTTACTTCATTCATATATCACTTGTACAGCCTAGTTACTTTGCTATTCTTCTGTTAAAAATCTGTAAATTAAAGCTAAAGTTCTAGGAAATACAGAAGTGCACAGAGAGACAGAACAGAAAAATTCTTCAGCTGGAATGAATGACAAGTACATGTGTTGGCTCAGGTTCAGACAAGATAAGTTGTTTAACCTCCTGAAAGTTAAACAACTCCTTAAACTATCCTTTTTTAGAAGAACATGTACGTGGTAAAAATTTGGGGCAAAACATAGGTAAATCTAAAACCAGCTACCTTTGAGATGTGTGCATGCTTCTACGCTACGTAATAAAAATGAGAGATCTTAGCTTTGAAACAGTCTTTGAGATGTAAAACTCTATGGTAAAAAGAGAGCTGGTACTTTAATATATAAATATACAAAGGTTAACGTCTGGGCTTTGGACTTTTAAGAAGAAGTATATATAGTCCAAGTAACAAGCAAGAGGTGGGACTCAGCACTCTGAAGGGTTAAAGTGAACTTTAGTCTTCCACTGATCACCCTCTGGTACTGTGTCTTCATAAATTTCCTCCATTTATGGAGTGTTTTTGATGGCAGGCAATTCTTTGTTGAAAGTTAAGTGCTCTTTTATATGAATAAATAAAGAAGGCTTTGGTTTGAATGAATACATTATTTTGACAAATGTTTATTGGAAACCCAATTATGGCTTCATAAATCAGTGCTATCTGTGCTACATCAGGTGAGCTCACCAATGCCATCAAATGGCACATTGAATATTAGTAGGATAATTAAAACAATTCTGTTGAATGTTGTCCCTCTTACCCAGGTCTGACAGTAGTCAAAACAGGAAGAAACTGTTTATTATTTTTATTTAACTTATTAAAATACTTCTTGTAAGATGTAATGGACATACATAACAAAACAAAAAAAAAAAAAAGGAAAAAAAAAACATTTGTTTTCAATTTGCAGTTAGATTAAAATGACAAGGTCAGGCACAATGCATGAACTGAGTGGCAGCTGAAGTTTAAGAGTAGTCAGGGAACAGAAAGGACATATAAAAATCTATTGTTTGAACTTTACACCTAGGTGAAGTGGGGGTTTGTTTGTTTTGTCTGAAGTGGCCTCTGATGGTATGAAATGTTTCTATAATCAATTCATATGCTTCCCTGAATTTCCCACCCCCTGCTACAGTGGGTTAGAATGACCAAACGAATGAGAAGCCATTTTGATAACTATAATCAAAGAGAATATTTCGAACAAGAAAGAGGATATTTAAATTGGGGAAAAAAAATAGAAGTCTACAAGTTAAGAAGGGGATAAGCTAACAGGAATTCACTTCTCTTGAAGGCTCTGTGACTGATGATGGCAAAAGAGAGGCTCACAGTACCTGTAGCAGGATACTGAAGATCTGTTTAAGCTTTATGAAAATAATCTGTGTGACTTCCCAAAGGATCCATTCCAAGGTTTAGAATAAGGTTGAATTTATATCCACTAGAATTTACAGGCATAAAATGGGAAATGAAACTTAAGTAATTAGGTTTGTGTGTGTTTGTATTAGTGTAATATAAGTAGCCACATAGATGCCTTTGTTGCCAATTCAACTTCCATGTAGCTTTCTTCTTCCATAGTGCAGAAGAGAGAACGATAAGACATACGGAGAAAGCAAAAGGAGAACAACAGAAGGCAGTTCAACATGCATTTTTTCTCCCATGAAAGAAAATGAGTGCTAAGAGTTGGGCAGAGATACAACAACAAACTGCTTTTAGTTGGAATTTGTAAGTTCAGTGAGAGGAAAAGAAAAAAAAAAAAAAAGGTCACCAAGACAAATTTGTTTTGTTTCACCAGAAACCTTCCTCCAGCACAACTCAGGCTCCAGATTCCTGGCATCTGGCAGGCAGGCAGACAACCTGGAGGCCCTGGGGCTGAAAGTCCGATGCTCGGGCTTCTCAGAAGCTCATATTTCCCCAAAGATTTGCTTCCAAGATAATGTGCAAAGTTTGAGGTCTTCTTCCAAATAACAGAAAAAAAAAATCTGCAAGATAGAGATAGTATTCTTACTTTTCCACCCTGCCTTACCCTAGTCTCTTCCTAAGATTTCAGATGAACAATGAATGTGTAGGAAGCAATAAAGGGATTTTAGTCTTGAATATTTAGGATCCTATTTTCTCATAGAAAACTAAGAGTATATTCAGTCTAAAATCATGCATTTTGCTGCCAAAAGCACCAACACCAGTAATAAATACTCTGTAGATAAGGGAGAACTTGGGACAATCATGATGCATAAAGAAGGATGGAGCCTTGTGCTCTTTCTTATTTTTGCAGCCTTTGCAAGGCAAATAAATCTTTTTCTTTTCTTTTTTTTTTTTTTCCAGAGTAAAGAGAAACAAAAGTGCTCTTTTATGTACTCATTTGAGAAAAAATATTGCTCAAGTCTCATGGATTGTGCTTTTTATTTTTTTATCTCTTTCTCGTGGATTGTGATTTTTTTTCTCTACCTTCTGGACAGACATTCTAGTCACCCCTAAGTGGGTGACTGAGGGATTTTAGAAGTAAATTCTTCTCACTATATTGTTTTTTCACATGTATGATCAGAAAGACAGACCATGAAGTCCAAGCTATACATTTAGCAATTAATTTCCTGGAATGGGATTAAGGAGATGTAAATGATGGTTGGTTTGGTGAAGAGAAGTGTGGAAGCAATTGGTTTGACAATGCAACAGGAAAAAGCAAATTCAAAAAATTCACTGAGCTCTGCTCAGGCTAGAAGGGTAACAATCAAAAAGTGGTCTGCAGTCCGTGGACTTGACACAAAAGGCACAGAAATCAGCTCTTCAGCAACCTATCAACCAGAGCATCAGCCCTTCCCCCAAAATGTCAGGGATGTTTCTGTCAATCAATAATGCTAACAGATTTTGTTCCTGGCAAAGTTTATCAGCTGTGCTTATCTCTAGTCTCTTTTCTCAAGACCCATTTCCTCCCTTTGCCTGTGGCTATTCTAGTTGCAAATGTAAATTATTGGAAAAGAAGGAGAAAGAATGAGGCCCACTTTCCGTAACTCAGCTGTAAAACCAGCAGCTCTGAAAGACTTCACCTTAGGTTTTGATTCTGATGAAATAGTGGCTATGAATTTTATTTTCTTGTACAGCATTTACTGTTGTTGATTTAGCATTTGAAAATTAGAATGAAATGTTGTCTAGTTTCACTCTGCCTTCTGCCAAAAAAATTTGATGCACAAGCTGGTTATTTCATCACTTCTCAACCCTACTCACTGTCACCTCCTGCAAATGTAATGTATCAAAAAGAACAGTTGGTTCCCTTTCCACTTTTCTCTAGTGACAAAGACAAAAGAAGCTGTACCACTGCACGCCTAGCCTCCTCTTCTTTCAGTGGAAACCAGCATTTAAATTATTACATTTTAGAGCTTGAAGGAGAGGAAAGCTTCAAGGAAGATTCTTCCTTTATATCTGAGAATCCTGTTGCTATCAATAAATCATTCAGGCTGCTATTATAATCCAGAACAATAAAGTGGCATCACTCCTAAACACAAAAGGGCGTGTGAAAGACTAGCAGAACAAAAGCAATAAAGGAGTCATTAAAACACCTAGAAGATAAAGTGCTTTAAAATATCTCCCCAGATTTCCTTGTGGCAAGCCAGTGATTGGACCATAAATCAAAACTATTCTTCTTTAGGGAAAATTTAAGGAAAAGTCAGTGACTTTTGTAGCTATGCTCATCTAAAGAAAAACTGCAGGTTTTACAGTAATGGGAAAAAGCAGACAACTAACAGATTGCTGCCCCTGATTATTTCAAATGCACTCCTCTTTCCTTCCAGCAAGAATAAGCCGGTAAGCCTTGTTTTTAACAGAAGCAACATAAACAGAATACACCAGTAATTATATCTTTCATTTGATTCACTTTTAGCTTTTCCTGTTTTATTTGCATTGGTTAAAACTAAAACAATGAATTGGGTTGGAGGGATAAATTGTTTCTATTTTAAAAAATAACATTGACCAGCACATAGAAAAATTTTCATGTTATAAAGGATTTGTAAAGCACCACAAAAAAAAACAATGGTTATTCACAGCCAATAACTCTGGGCCATTAAGTGCTACTTAGTGAAAATAAACAAAAAACAAAGACTGTTCAGCAAGTGTTTGTTTTGAAGTCTACATTAAAATCTATACTCTTCATTGCATTATGAAATTCTGAAATCTACCAATTTCCACATTGTCTCCTGCCCCTCTATCAACTTCATCAAAACATGTCCGTTGTTTGCAATAACAAGTAGGATGAAAAAACCTGTAATAAACAACAAGAAAAACAATACCTAACACCAGACAGAGAATAGTTAAGATGCCCACAATTGTAAAATGTATTTCCTTGACAACAGAGGGTTTCCAAAACCAATATACAAGCAGAATGCCTACAGTTACAAGGGTGTGAGTAACATAATAAATAGAAATAGGAACTTTTGTTTTTCTCCCCTTTATGTTAAAAAAGGTAAAAAGCAGGACGATTCCAATGATAGTTCTGTACAGAAATTCCATCTCCTTAGACTTGCAAAATGTTGTGTGTTGTTTCAAAGTCCAGGCAAAACCACAGCTCCAAAGAAGTATCAGCAGAATTACAGAACTTCTAGCACTTAGTAGAGTGACCAGTGAAATACTGAGTATCCAGGAAGTGATGGTAAGCAGTTTATAGAAGAGATACACCAACTTGGAAAGTACACGAAATCTTTCTTTATCAGGCAGAGATTTTCGTAATGATACCTGATAATCAACCGTTGAAAAGGAAATACCACAGAAAGACATAATAATGGCAGCATCTAAACAAAACACAAGGATAAGTGTTAGACCTATTAGAAATATATTTATTTTACATTAAAATTTCTGAAGTTTTGAACAGGTTCTGACCAAGTTCATGTTTCTTTGCACTTTCCTTTTACCAACATGATATTTCCTCCATGCTCCTGAACAAGTCACCTTAATTTTAAGGCTCAGTTTAGTTGCCTAAATCTAGGCATCTGTTGCCATTTGGGATCTCTTGCTGTTGCTGGTTTCACCAAAATTTTGTGTCATATTTTCCATTTCTGTCCATGGGTGCCTTAGAAACTCACAAGGTATTGCAAGAAAAAAGCCCATAAAAACTTTGGTTTCAGAAACTGATATTGAGGCTAGGATGTTTATGTGTAGGTACCTATAACTGAGACTTGACCCTTCACATGGTCATATTTAAGATGAGATTCATCTAACCATTGCATCTGAGTACTTATTAACTCCATGAAAAAACACTAAACAACAATGTAGGTTTCTCCATTTGGTTAGATAAAATCCAGCCCTGAGCAGGTAAATGTCTTGCACATACTGCTGCTAGCTTCAGAGCTGAAAATAGTATAGCTGCTCTCCTGCTTCTGAGAGTTAAACCAATATCTATTCCTCGTACGGCATTCTGCACTGCTGGTGCATTTTTTTTTTTATGACTCTCTCCCTTACCTGTAAAGTGTAGATGAGGATAGTGACAAGTCACAGGGCTGCTCTAAATATGTTACCAATTTCTAGATGTCCAGTTAGCCATTTTAAAAGAACTATAGGCAAGCACACACTAATGGTTCTAAAATATATACACTAATGATATTCAACAGCTTATTCTCAAATGATGTATCATGTTTACATTAATGACTTGGTACAGTGAAACCTTATTTCCATGAATTTAGCAGAATGGATCATCTACGAGACAGAAATTTCAACTAAATGCAAAGCAATTATACAATGCAGTGTATGTTTTCCAAGGTACATTTAAAATTTTATACAATAACATGAGTTATCTTTTTAGGTAAAATACTCAGCTTTCAAATCATAGAGAAAGAAAGACTCACATTGATAGAAATTATGGTTTTTGTGTTCCATGAGTACATAAATCTGGACAAAAAGCTGTGGTGTGGTCTCCAGAAAAGTCTTGAATATCCTGAGCATGTTAATATCAGCCAGTATATCAATGGCTTGTTTTTGAATGAAGTTGGGATGGTCTGTTTCTGATACATCTCCATTGCTGTTTTGTTTAAATGCAGCTTGGCAGCCATACTTCAAAGCAAACCAATACCTATTAAAAAGAGAGACTTGATTAGACTGTTTTTTGAAAGCATGACTCTATAAAATTATATGGGCTAACAAAGACTTTTCCCATTTTATTCTCCATTCACATTTTTTCTTTGAATGTAGTCCAATACCTTCTGCTAAGCTAAGATCTAGTCTGATATCTGTCTGGTATCAGTGATATCAGATAATCATTTATGCCCACTGATACTGATGCAATGTAAAAACAACTAGAAGAGAATGAGACTTGCCTGAAAAAAAAGATTACAATTGTTATTTTGTTAGTTTTTTATTTCTTAAAAGATAACGCATTTCTGAAAATTCCCTCAGCATCTCTTCTCAGTCTATATGAGATACTCATTTACCTTTTTTCTATCCTTTTAAGGGAATTAGTGAATATCCAGCTGTGAATATCCAACTGCATATAATATAAGACTATAACCTCCAAGGATAACAACCGATGAAATGCAAACATACAACAGGATTTTTGGAAAAAAAAATATATATATATATCACTCAAACATTCTTTTCTAAATACCCAGGAAGACTTTAATTTCAGAAAATTACTGTCAAGACACAGATCTCCTGGGACTACAGATTCTATTATCTGAGTAATTTTACAAGAACAAGCCATTTCCCTTAGCAAATGAGTGCACCTGAAAGACTTTTAGAACAATTATGGTTTATTTTCAATTAAGACTAAATTAAAATTTCCTCTAAAAGAGCAGAAAATGTAAAGATAAATAGAATTAGTTAGTCAGTTGGCTGGCATGCATTATTATGTCTAGTAAAGAACTTTTTCTAGTCAGGATTTCTCTAATGCCATGCTTAGAGATAAATAATTCCTAGCTTTTATTCCTATTTTCAAGGCCTTTACTTCGGGCATGAAGGTGGGCATAGCACCTCACAAGGCAGAATACAAATAAATTTTAATCAAAAACCATTTGATTAAGAGAGGAACCAGCTCTTGTTCATGATAATTTTTACAAGCCGTGTTTAGGAAAACAGAATAATGTCCACAGCCTGATGTAGGACCAGAACTACAGCTGCTGCAAATTACAGTATTTCCACTGTCCCTCATGGACTCATACATACACTCAGCCATGGGGAATGGTGTGGTTCATTGCACTAGTGCTTTGGAAACCAGAAGTAGTGTGTAATGCTGTCTATAGTAGATGAGATTGGGGCAACTCCAGAGGAACAGATTCTCACAGCTAATGAACTCTTGCCAGCTGAACTGTTCTCACCCTGAAGCAAAGCAATGTTTGATTTCTTCTTCCAGTTACCTCATTTCAAGTGGTTAGTAGCACTGGTTGTGAAGGTTGTAGACTAGAGCCTGTAACTGAAGCACTGTAATAGTCACTGCCATTGCTAGTAATGGGACATGAGCTTCGTACTGACTTTGCAAGGCCTCAGGACTCATGCTTGTCAGGCTTGTTCTGTTTGAAGTTTTCTTGACTTGTCTGCAATTTTGTTTTACTTGTTTTAGCTACACCAAGCTTGGTTTAGCTTGAATTTGCCACAGGAATAATAATAATAATAATAATAATAATAATAATAATAATAATAATAATAATAATAATAATAATAATAATAATAATAATAATAATAATAATAATAATAATAATAATAAAATCTAATTGACCAGTTGGCTCTTTTGTTTATTTTTGTGTGGTATAGTCATACTTTCATATGGGTTACAGTTACAAGTAGATACTCTATCTTGAATGATATATATATGACTAACATGACGACATAGAATCATAGAATCATTAAGGTTGGAAAAGACCTCCAAGATCATGTAGTCCAACTATCCCCCTACCACCAAAAGACATGTCAGAGTATAGAGAAGTATAGAGAGTAGAGTAGTATAGAGAAATATAGTCCTGGTTTGAAAACAGGCCTTGAGATGCAGTGCAGAAAAGTAATGCATAGCACAGCTTGGCATTGGAGACAACAAGGCTGTAAACTACTCATTAAAACTCACATTCTGAAGTGCTGACCTAGAGACAGAGGAAAGTTGTTTTAGGGGTAAAAAAGACAGCAAAGAAATAGCATCTAACACTGTGGTGGTTTTAGGCTCCATGTATCCTTGGCATAGACTATCTCAAGAGAGGGTACTTCAAGGATCCAAAAGGATACCGGTGGGCTTTTGGCATAGCTGCTTTGAGCACAGAGTAGGGCACTGTATGGGCTGCTGCCAGGAAAGTTAACATTCCAGCCAGACCCAGTACAAACATGACTAAAGGACCCATAGATACTAAATTTTGATGTATAATAAGCTGCAGATAAAAAGAGAAAGCAAAGTCCAAATGTAAATATACAAAAAAGTCCCAAAGAGAATCCTAGTGTGAAGAAGAAGCCATAGACATGAACCTTATATTCCTTCCATCAAGACTCCAGAAACTGGTAACTGCAATACCCCCTTACACCAGAATGAACCTGCTGAGCTCAGGATCTAGAGGAGTAGAGGACAGGTGAGCAAAACAGCAGAAAAGGGAATAGGAAGCAAGAAATATGTATAACAATTCTAAATGGATTACTACTACTGAAACTTTTTATGCATAGAAGCATTTTTTCTTATCTAGTAATAAATGGATCCAGACTAATAATGATTCTTGGAATAAACTACTGAGATTTTAATTATATAATAATTTATTGGCTTTACAAGTAATGTATTTGCCTATAAATAGAATTTTGAGCCTAACAGCCTTCAGACATCACTTTCAACCTTATTTCTGCCTTTGCATTTCCCAGATCACTTCAACTTCTAATATTCTTCTCTAGTGAACCCATTTGGGCTACATCCAACAACAAAAGCCATCCTTCCTCAAGAAAATTCACTGTTATTCAGCCAAATTTTCTAATATCATAAACATTGCTAAAGGTCTTCCCTCTTGACAGAAGAATTTAGTCATCTAGATGATGAAGACTGCATCATTCATTAGGATTTGGTTTTAGGATAAATCAAGCAGAACATCACAGACCATCACTAGGTTATCTCATACATTTGTGCAAGTCTGCAAACATGTGGGCTATGCCCTTAGCCTGGCCCCTACTACCATTGCTTGAGACTGCATCCTAGATGACTTCAAGATTCGTGCTAAAGTGCTGTAGATTCCCAATTCCCTGGTTGTTCACAGGAACACATATACTAAGAATCCCATGAAACTTGTACAGTTGCATTTCCTTTATATAGAAAACAGTGTACAGGTGATCATTTGACACCCAGATCTCATCCCAGTTTGGCACTGAAGCACAGTCCCATTTGCTCACTGCTCAAACAGTAACCTCAGCTCAGTACCTCAGTATTGAGTACTTAGTACCTCAGTTTACTGTAGGAGCTCGGACAGACTCCTGGTTCCTCCAGATGTTAGAAGTTTAACACCTTCACCATCTTTAAAGACCAAAACCCTTGACCCCAAGGGACAAAGTGACAGGGGCCCTTCTGTTGCTACAAGTGAAAGAGTCAGGATTTGCAGGTCCTGGGTTAAGTGCATACTAGAGGAATCATGATTTATTTCCTGGAATAGTAAGCATGTTATATGCAAAGCGAGAATTTCCAGGCTTGCAATCTGGAAGCATCAGCAGAAGGTGTGAGGCAGTTATGCCACCACTGAGGAGCCTTAGAGGAAGATCTTTTGTCCTTCTCCTGACAGAGACTCTACAGACTGCAGCCCTGACACTCAGGCTGCACACTGATTCCGTCAGCTGGCTCTAGATCCATTATTTACTCCCAAAGGAAACTGTTTTCTGGTTTTATGCTTTTGTGTATTTATTTTACTGTTTTCTGAGTAATCTCCCATAAGCAAAGAACTAAACTGCTTGGCAAGCCTTCTATAGATTTTTCAGTTTATAAAACAATTAGGATACCAAAACATCTGGTTCTTGCATTAGAGATGTAAACATCTGGAGAGTTTATAATGTTTTCAAGAAAAAACAATTGGGTAGACCAATCTGTTAGTTGTCCATGGACTCATTCACCAGAGCCTGTGTTTGCCTGTGAAGTGAAAACCAGTTGCATAAATTTTGAGCTGCAGAGCTCACAGCTGAGACAGCAGATGATATGCAAGGCAAAGAACAGACATATTATAAAAGGAATATTTCAGTTGGATGCACAACTGAAATCACCTGTCAGTTTTCAGAAGCATATTCCTTCTAAGCCTAGCATGGTATACTAGGTTTCTATTGTTAAAAGAAGATATGCTATAGTATTTTTCACTAGCAATAGTTACTTTGGTTAGTCCACTTCTGACTTTGAATATTGTATAAAATACATTGTTTTTTCTGTAAAAGTCCAAATATTTCCATGACGTATTAAGCAAGATGGTGTCCCGTGAGCTCCACATGTCTCTGTCGCTCACTGTAGTTCACTGTGACAGATCTTTCATTTTATAAGGACATTTTGAGCTTATACTCCCGTTACCATCTGCCCATTTGGTAAGCAATATTTTAGGAAGGACCTGTAGTCAACTTTTAGGCTTAGCATTGGACTAGTGCATTCAAAGCCACGGGTAGAGTTCATTCTGTACTAAGGGACAGGTCAGGCTCCAGTATTCTCCATTTGTCATGACCACTATTCACCTAAACACTGCACCTGCTCTGAACCCATCATCATTTTATTCCTACATTAATGTATCTATTGCCATAGTAGCATTTTGTTCCAATATTCACAAATTAGGGGGAAAAAAAAAAAAGTTAAAATTATTTCACCTGGAATAAAAAATGTATTAATTAAAATATTTGATTGATTACATACTTTACATAGAGCTACATCTTAAACTCAAGGTGAGATGGGCATGGTTGTGTGTCAATAATACAGACAAATTGCCATTTTGTTCGCCATTTACTTTTTCCCTCTCTAAGTTCATTAAAGATTTTTTCATTTATTAAATATACAAACTACTTGGAAGACAAAATGAAAAAAGATTTCTTTACAATTATAATTGTCATATGCGAACAGTAAAAAAATTATCATTGTTTCTAAATATCATATTCACTTTGATAGGGGAAAAAAAAAAAAAAGTTTTCTGCCCTTGTAGTGTTGCTTTGTGGAGAACAGATGTTAGGACTCCTTGTTATAAACACTCATTTAAGCACAGATCAGGTGTCTCTGTTCTTGAGCTGCTCCTACAGTTTCCTCATCATTTCTTAAGGGATGAAATTTCCTTGTATTCTCCTGTAACATTAGGAAGGCTCAGGCTCTCTAAATGTGACTGGAAATTCACAAATGTGACAGCTACTTGTTTTTGTTACTTCATGGCTTCAAACATCACGGCCAAGCTGTCTTGCCAGTGCTTCCATGTCACCTGCTTCCTCTTAAAATTTCCACAGCAGTCCCTGTACTACGGTACACATCTCATCTCACCAAACTGCACTGATGAGGATTTGGGTGCCAGTTGGAAAGTCACAGTTCCATGGAAGAAGAGAGTGAGAGAGACCTGACAGCAACAATTGTCTCTTCTGAATTCTGGTCAGGCAGTCACAGTTCACAGAATTATATAAATCCTTAATCAAAGGGAATTTCTTCTCTGCTGCACATTAAACCTAATCTTCTAAGTATCAAAAGGCTTGGATTAAGTCCAGGAAACTGATGTGACTATGTCAATACCTTAGGGCAGAAAAGTTTTCTTAAGAAAACGTGAGCAAGTACATATTATTCTATGATTTCTAACTCACTTAAAGTAGCATTACAAAACTTCCACTTTAATTAACTCTGTACCACACTGACTTAATATCTTAAATACCTTCCTAATTACTTTGTCTTGCAGATCTTCTTGTTGTACATAAAATTGCTGGAGGCACATTACCAGCTTCAGTCTTTGTTTTTGATCCACTCAGTTTGGGTGTGGTTTACCACATGCGAAAGCTGTACAAATATAACTGGACATCATCTAGCTCAACTACATTTTTCTCATCGCTTTTTTTTTTAACGTCATGGAATAATACCACATTTAACAGAGCACTTGCATTTGTTCTGATTTCTCATATATTTAGAATTCATCTTTAAAAATATGCAAAAAAAATCTTTTTCACCTGCTTCTTTTTAAAGTAGGGCATCATGATCCTTCTCTTAAGCATCAAGAGACACAATAGCAACTTTCACTATCACAACTGTAGCTGCCTCTGTGGTCTGCTATTCTGACAGAAAAGTTTGTTACTTGCTAAAATTTAGTCTTCCTCAAGTGTTCTTGACTGATGTTGCAAATTGCTAGAAGTCAGTGAATTCATACAGGGTCACATGAAAATGTTTCTTTTTTCCACATTCACTGACTGTGTTATCTTCTTAACGTCAGTTGTTATGCTGCAGCCTGTTCTTAACTCTATTGACATCGGTGGGACCCATCTATATGGGTCAGGATGAAAATAAATTTAGTCAGTGTGGCTAATACATGTACATGTACTAATGTACATGTATTTAGGTGTACTAATGTACACCTAAATTTTGTCTTGAAAAGCTCCTCTCAGAGAATAACATTTCATATAAAACATAACTATTATATATAGAATAATTTTATTTTTATTTATATATTGTGTATAATATTTCTATATTTTATGTACATATCTATTATGTTCATATATGTACGCACATGTGATTTCAATATTTATAACTTAGCACTGATAGTGTGATTACAAAACCTGAAGAAAGGAAGGGAAGAATGGAGGGAGAAGCTTGGAAGGAGAAAGAGAATTTGGCAAGGTGTATTCATATCTTCCAATTTCAGGAATTCTAAGTTCTCTGGCTGAGTCAGTATTTACAAGTTAGGTCCCTGTTTCCTTCTTTGGTAGGTTGGAAAGATAGGTTCCTGCCCCAACGTACAACCTGGTTCACCTTAATAATTATGACCTGACTTCTGACAATATCTGTTATGACTGTATTCACTACAGAAATAAGTATAGAAATAAATACTCATTGTTTAACTTTTCTGGATGACGAAGGAGGGCAGGAAGGAAGTGCACGTGAATACACCTAAGAAAAATGTTATATGCTTCCTATTGAAGTATATAACAGCTGATGACCAGGTACAAGCACAGGTGTCAGCTTGCTGTTATCAGCTTATACTTTACTGTATGCATTATCAAACTGATGAATTTTGAGGAGTGGCTCAAAGAGTTTTGTAATTTATATATGTCAGATTGGATTTTTTTTCCAACTGTAAGCAGCAGCACAGGAGAAAACATTATTTGTGCAATAGAGAACAGGTGACCAAGATGGCTACACTGCCACTGCAAAGGGCATAATTATGTTTACTAGATAACAAACCTATAAAAGAAGATGGGGTTAATTGTGGGAAAGATATTTGGAAATTATAGAAATTCACGGTAAGATGTATTCATTGGAAAGTGTAAGAATTAATCTATTAAAAATATGTGTGTAGAGGTAGTACTTTGAACAGATACAGCTTTTTTTTTAGTCAAGATTACATAACCAAGAGTTGAAGATGATCAGAATTTGGATCTGAATCCTAAAATTTCACATTTAAAGGAGAGGTCTTAAAGATAGGCACAAATCAGCAGGAGATTTTAGGGGAAACCTGAGTGTGTAACACCAAGCCAGAATTACAGTCTGATACAGATTACAGAGAATGATGTCATGGTAGAGAAAGAGGAAGAAGGGAGGGTTACCATATGACACTGTAGTTTCTGGCTTAACATTGATGATCAGGTACCAGAAGCTGAGGTCAGGGCTTTAATTTACTTTGGAAGAAAAAAATATCAACGGGGAAGGTTTGTAGGCAGCAAAATAAGAATGGCCAAACCTGAAGATGACAAGACTTGGAGATAGCCAAAAAGGAGTAGGCCACAGTGGGCCCAGAGATATCACCTCTGAAAGGCAAAATCTGGTAGTGTCCCTGTGGCTGGGTGTTTTTACATCTCACTTGAACCAACCCATGTCCATGGATTTGAATACAAATCCATTGATGAAACTGAACAGGGATTTATTTTTTTTTTCCTTTGAAATATTGTATTTTAAGATTTTCTACTGCCTGACATCAGAAAGATAAAACCTGGCAGTAAATACTTCTCTGTGAAGTCTAAGACTTTAGAATTGTAAGAGGAGTAGCAGAAAAGCAAAGCTGTTGGACAAAAGGAAAAAAATGTATATATTCAAAAGAAAAAGTTAATTGTTGTTGAAATTTCATCATTTTCCTTAATCCATGGTAATATAAGATGAATGAAACATGTATACTAGAGGATTTTTTACATTGGCATAAATATAGGAAGTTAAAAGAGGCATTTTAAATAAGCATTTTATTAAATGCCTCTGAGGAGTCTATATCTGCTCAGGTTTATTGAATGTTACTTACACAAAATAATGGAAATTCAGGTCCTCAGGACTTTTCATCAAAATCTTTCAAATCAGTTTTACAATAAAAGTAAAATCTTAGCAAAAATGATCTCTATAATGATAATTTTACAGTAACATTACCACAGAAGCTAAAGAAAGAATGTTAAACATATGGTATCTTAAACTACTCCTGGACATACACCTGTCAGGAAACAAAGGTGCCTGTCACTATAACTCAGTCCCTGCAGTAAGCATTCTTACTTAGTATCGAATTACTCATTTCTTTCCCAAATTCTGGTGGTTTTCTAAGTTTTGTTAGAGTTTTGATTTCACATATTACCTCTTACTTCAGCTATGTAACTTACTACAACTAATGTAACCACACAAATTATCTTCCTAACATCACTTTAAAAACCTACATGTCTTTATCAGGTACAAGAGTATTCCTCTGTAAAGCAATCTTATTAAAATTATCAAAAGGATGATGAATCAAATAGAATATTATTAATAGGTCAAATGAAAAAGAAAAAAAAATCTACATTTCCATCAACACCTGTCATAATTTACTCCTGGCATAAGCAAACAAAATTTATTCACTTATGTGGAGTAGTTGTTGTTAATGCCAGCAGTGTCCCTGAAGCCATATTAACATAATAACCTGGCACTGGGATTTCTTTATAAACTGGCTAAAAGCAGTATGATTTCTCATTTTAAAATAAAATAAAATAAAATAAAAGTGCTTACCTTATAAAAATTCCACAGTGAAAGAAATGAACCAGAAAAATCCATCTTAGCTTCTCAGGATCAGTATCTTCACAGTCATTTTTAAACCACTGATAACTGAATATTTGAGTTATTAGTGATGAAAGACATCTAAAACTGATTATTAATATAGCCCAAGTATATTGTCCCTTATAGAAATATTTACTGGCTACCCAGAAATCCACTCCTATATCAACTATATAAATTATAATTCCACAAAGTAAAAAAATAAAATTCTCCTTGGTATACTTCATCATGTGTTAGATTGCTGTTGTCATTCTGTCCTCATTTCATGTGAAGAAAGTCAGATTAAAAGTAAATGCTTTCTTACAACAGAGTCTTCTTCCTGATGATAACGCTTGTTCATTGTCCTTTATGCAAAAAAAAAAAAAAAAAAAAAAAAAAAAAAAAAGTTGGTTGCATATTTTTATCATGGCAAGCTGAATAAAAACCAAAGGACTTCCATTTTTCTGTGTTCTTGAATTAAATATTAAACTAACTTCATTGATGCATGTCTATTCTGGAGAACATAAATCTAAATTGTCTAATTGTCTTTTTAACTGGTTCACTCATTCTTCATTATGGGTTCCTAAACCTAAGAAGAAAAAGGAAAATCATCAGTAACAATAACTTATTTTTAAATTATCATACAGCAATTTTCATGACCATTTAAACAAGCAAGTACAAAATGCAGAATGTACTGAGGCTATCTGTGAAGAATCAGTGCCAGAGAAGCTGTACCTCTGAACCTCCTGAGGGCGGTCACTCTCCCAACCATGGCAATTCCTCTCCTTCTCAAACAGCCACTGAGACAATTCTTAAAAGTAGCAAAATACTAAGAAAAAAGCTTACCCCTACTAATTTTTTAAAACCAGATTAGGGAAACAAAAAAAGATCGACTCCTTCCCAGCACTTTGACTTCTGAGTGACTCCGTCACTGTGCACAAATGGCTGAGGGAACTCCTGTCTTGGGTACACACCACCGTATCAGAGTATGCGTCATTAGGTCACCTCCAGCTGGGTGACTGGGCTTGTGTGCATACATCTCAGTAGTTTTACTTTCTGAGTTTGTTTGTCCCGATGCAGCAATGCAGTGCTGAATTGGATTGCAGTTCTCCTGTTAAAGAGACTTGGAAGGACTCAGGCCTGCTCCAGTCTACACCTCTTTGATAAATATCTCCCAAGCTGTGTGAGTAGTAGCTACACACAGATAACCTAATCACACTAGCTGCCACAGATGAAATTTGTTCACAGTCCAAACCTATATTTAGATTGCCTAACACTGTAAGGGTCCTTTTCAGACCTGTACTATTTGGCAGGCGCTACAATGGAGTACATCTTTGTCTCATTCAGTTCCACTTTTGCTACATTAGAACCACAGCATCCACTGTTTTGTTCGCATTTCTTAGGAAAAATTCTGCTGGCAGAATTTTTCAAAGAATGAGATGCAGGACATGCCAAAGCACCAGGTTTGGGGTGATGCCTCCACCAAAGAGCATCAGGCAGTACCCTGAGAACAGCTGTGCCAAGGCAGACAGGGCAGGGCAGGCAGAGACAGGTCTCATGGAGTTTTGTTAGTTTAGGCACACTGCCCCTGAAGAATGAAATGACATAATCAGTTAATATCACACAAACCCTTGGAAAGGTAATGACTATTCTAAGCTTCTGTTGACTGGGCTTATCTACACTTTGACTCAGGTACAAATCCCAGAAGGGAACCTAAGCTCTTAATTTCCTAAAGAAGACAGTAGGGACATAACAGCCTAAATAGGTGCTAGGTCTCTAAACATTCTATTTTCTACTTCAATTTCATGTCTTGGCCCAGAAGAGGTCAGTCAGGTCAGGTGATATCACAGCTGGGATAGCTGGAATCCTTTAATTGTCCTTTCCTACCCTCTCAAAAAAATAAAACAAAACAAAAACAGCACTAGTCTTTTTCAAATCACTGATGCAATTTATATCCAACGTACAGTCAGATTCTAGGAAGTGAACGTCAGTGAACTTCAGCATAAACTGAACTTTGTCTTTATGAATGTTTCTTAATCTGCAAACTTGTGTATGAATCAGCCTACGAGTTGATTAGCAGTGTTTTTTCAAGAAAATTCCAAAGAAAACTATTTACTCTGCATACAAACATGGCAATCAGCAACTTGATGTACCACCTTTTTGTGATAAGAACATTATGCGTGGTTTTAAGAACAGACTCAAAAAAAAAAAAATGGTTCGCTATTGACTGTTGTAGAAAACATGACAGTAAAAGTCAAGTCAATGACTGGATCCAAGCACTGTAAGGTTCATATTTAATAAGTAATACTGTACTGGACATTTGAGTGGCAGAGAATAGCCTCTAATTTTGTACCTGACATGAATAACTAGGGTAACTGGATTTCTTGGTCTTTACAACCTCCCTATCCTTCTGTGACTGAACACTTCACAAACAGGAGTTATCTTATTGCCTTATTACCCCTAACGAGAATGGAAGTTTTACAGACTCCATCCAGATGCTGAAACAACTGCATGGAGAGCAGCTGGGAGCCAGGTGATTTCTACCTCTGACACACAACCTGTCCAAACAGCTGCCATGCTGTTTGTCTCCAGTCATGTCTGGTGGCACAGAAAGCTATCAGGTAAGCTGAGACTTATACAGAGACTCGCAGATCTGTATCCCCCAAAGTGCACTCTAATGTCTTAATTCCAAGACCAAACACAAATGCCTGTTTGCAGGTGCATATGAAATCTCTGTTAAAGATCTCAGCTTCTAATATCCCCTACATTTGTCCATGACATCACTTCAAAGAGCAGCATGGTCTCATGCGCCAGGTGGGGTACAATTAAGTGTTACTGGAGAGAATGCCTTGTATCATTGCATCATTCACAGTTATCTGGTCCCCGGTCTGTTAGCCAACATAAATACGTGTGCTCTAAAAACTACAATAATTTTACAGAATCAGTTTGTGGCGAAGCAGAATCAACAAAATGCTACTAACTAGACTTTCCATTCTCATGATCCTTTTCAAATACTATTTAAAAATGCAGACTTACCTTAATACTGGCCCTGGATAATTTGATTTTTTACTTTAAAAACTGTAGATTTGTATATTCACAGATTTTCCATCCACACTTTTATAAGACTTGCAATCTACGAAAAGTCTAAGGGCTACTGACATAACACAAACAGAAACCAAAACGATATGCAAAGCATGTGACACAGTTAATGATTTGCTACCTGTCAATAACTTATTGTTTTGAATGTATTATAAAAATTATATTCTAAAAGGTAGGTTTAGAAGTCCCTGTCTATGTTAATGTACTATAAAATTTTCTTCAATAAATTTATTTCATACTTTGTCCCTTAGAGGGAAAAAAATAGAAAAAATGTACCAATGTCCTCCAGTATGTGTATATATATGTGTGTGTGTGTGTGTGTGCATGTTCAAACTTAAAATTTAGTTTGTTACACCTGTTGAGCAAAAGCCAATAAATATTTATGGAAATGTATAGGTGTATATGTGTGTTTTTATATGTGTGTTTATATATATATATGTATATAAGTATTTATATGTACATTTATGTAGCTCGGAGATTTATAGAAAAAAATATATATATGAAAAAAGTATAGTTAAAAGATACAGTAAAATACACTTTAAAATATTTGTGAAAAGCTTTTCTGTGCAATGATATGTGAAGAGACTGCATGTGTCCAGGGGCAAGTGATTAAAATTGTTTTCCTCTGGTAAAACTGCAGGTGTTTGCAAGAGTCTGTTCCAGCTGTGCTATCATTTCTCAACACAACTTTCCTGCTACTGAGAAAATCCAGAGCATGTTTAAATGAGCTGCAGGGTATGATGAGCAGGTGTTGGGATTAAGCCTCTCTGATTGTGCTGCACAGGATGATACAAGCCCTCAGCAAGAGCAGTCTATAGCTCTTCTAGATCTTAGGACAGGAAATATAATCCTATCAGTGTCTTCATGGGAAACGTAAGATCATCTCTTGTCCTGTTTTGTACTCCCTCCTCTATATAGATTAGAAACATCCTAGTCCTAAGTGGTTTTTGCAGTGCCTGAAATTTATTACTATTTTCAGGTCAGCACTTTAAGAATGGAACCTGTGGATTGAGAGATTTTTCCAAAGCTAAACAAAACAGTGGCTGGACCCCAAGCAGTACAGCAAAATTCCTGGTTCAGTTGTGGGACAATGCATTATCCGTAACTGCCTTCTGAAAACCTGCTTATATGTATATAAATATTTTGTATGTACATTTATGTAGCTCAAAGATTTATGGAAAGAAAAAAAAAAAAAAAAAAAAAAACTTTTTACCTGTAGTTAAAAATAAGCCTGGAGAGAAGGATCACAGGCCAGCAGGAGAGCACCTGAAGAGCAGCACTCCAGCCAGTAAGGCAACTTCATCAGGGGCCCAACCCAAATGTCTCTCTGCTAACACACATAGCATAAACAGAAGGAGTTAGACATGTAGACTGCAGGGCTATGACCTCATTGATATTGTGGAGATGTGTTGGGATGGCTCCCATGACTGGAGTGTTGGAATGGAAGGATGCAAGACCAAGCAGATGAGGTCCTCTATAGACAGATAGAAACAGATGAGAAGTAAGCTGCAATATAATAGTATAACAATATAATAGCAATAACAATATCATTCTCTGGTAGAATTTACCTTTTGTGGACAATATTTCCTTCAACATTGAACTAAGCTCTTGCAGCAAATTGAAAGTCAAAATATGATGCCAGTGTAAACCTATGTAATCTTTTCCAAGAAGTACAAAAGGGATACCTCACACCCATTTCTTGTGTTCCCCCTGGACTTCCATAAAAACCACCAGAAGGCATAGGGCCACTGGTTCTTCATAACCTTCATTTCACTGGGAGATCAGTTGATGAGACTATAAAAGTAGCTGCAGACAAAACAAGGCTGTAGCAACCTGTCTGTGGACTACACTACCTACACTTAGCAGTTTTCACCAAGACTGTCCCTCTCCATGAGTCTGGGGCAGACATGAAAAGCAGGTGACCTCCAGTAAACATTGATTTCTTTTAAATTATAAAAAATCTCTAGTTATGTAAGTCAAGTATTATCATTCTTTTCAGTATGAAAGAATTTTTGGTCATCTGAGATATGCATTCTCTCAGAATGATAAAAATACATATAAATTTGCAACATAGCAATAAATACATTATATAATGAGTTTGTTACGTAGTTTTAAATACTTATAATTCCACCTCAGCGTTTTAAAATTTCTAAGAGGCTTTGCAAGCTGTTTGCCCAAATGGTGAGTAAGCTCCTGGGGCTTTAAGGGAAGATGTCTTAAATCAGCCAAGTCACACACTCACTGCTGTGACCTTTGTTATTATTAAATAAATGACACAAACTCTATACTACAGAGAGAGAAAAAGAGAAAGAGGTTTACGCATCTGATCTTTGGACTGTAAATCAAGCAACTTGAGCTAAATTACTGGCTGGATGATTTATTTGTTTTCTATCTAGACTTGCCATTGAAGAAAGCACATCTCTACATTGTGACAAAACTCCTATGGTATACAGCTTGTTATTTGCTTCTAAATGTAGATGGAAGGACCTTTTTTCTCTGCTTTAATTAGTGTTAACAGGACATTGGATATTATATATTTGGAATAGTTGACTTTTTTTCAGACATCAGAAACTAAGATCTTCACTAATACTAGCATAGAAATAAACAGGATGAAATGTCAACCTGAAACAAACAAACAACAACAAAAACAGGATTTCTGGAGATTTATTGTGTAATTTTCTCTTTACATATGATATTCAAGCTTTGCAGTCAATGAATATTTTTGGTGCTGGTATTAATATTAATTTGGTGCTGGATGAAATATCTTCATCGATGATCTGGACGAGGGCATTGAGTGCACCCTCAGTAAGTTCACAGATGACACCAAGCTAGGTGCATGTGTCGATCTGCTCGAAAGTAGGAAGGCTCTGCAGGAGGATCTGGATAGGCTGCACCGATGGGCTGAGGTCAACTGCATGAAGTTCAGCAAGGCCAAGTGCCGGGTCCTGCACCTGGGGTGCAATAACCCCAAGCAGAGCTACAGGCTGGGAGATGAGTGGTTGGAGAGCTGCCAGGCAGAGAAGGACCTGGGAGTGATGGTTGATAGTTGACTGAATATGAGCCAGCAGTGTGCTCAGGTGGCCAAGAAGGCCAACAGCATCCTGGCTTGCATAAGAAGCAGTGTGGCCAGCAGGGCTAGGGAGGTGATCGTCCCCCTGTACTCAGCTCTGGTGAGGCTGCACCTCGAGTACTGTGTTCAGTTTTGGGCCCCTCGCTACAAGAAGGACATCGAGGTGCTTGAGCGGGTCCACAGAAGGGCGACGAAGCTGGTGAGGGGCCTGGAGAACAAGTCCTACGAGGAGCGGCTGAGGGAGCTGGGCTTGTTCAGCCTGGAGAAGAGGAGGCTCAGGGGTGACCTTATTGCTCTTTACAGATACCTTAAAGGAGGCTGTAGTGAGGTGGGGGTTGGTCTGTTCTCCCATGTGCCTGGTGACAGGACGAGGGGGAATGGGCTTAAGTTGCGCCAGGGGAGTTTTAGGTTAGATGTTAGGAAGAACTTCTTTACCAAAAGGGTTGTTAGGCACTGGAACAGGCTGCCCAGGGAAGTGGTGGAGTCACCATCCCTGGAAGTCTTAAAAGACGTTTAGATGTAGAGCTTAGGGATATGGTTTAGTGAGGACTGTTAGTGCTACTTCAGAGGTTGGACTCGATGATCTTGAGGTCTCTTCCAACCTAGAAATTCTGTGATTCTGTGTGATTCTCTAATGGATGTTACAGGAGTTAATGCATGGCTCGAAACAGTATATTGGTTGAGGACTTCAGTATGATAGCTTCCCCTGTTTCTCTAGAAGTTACTCCAATATTGTTGTACAATTTATCAGTAGTTTTCTATCACCACTGCTTATTTGTATGCTGCTACATCAGAACCCTCAGCCACCTGTTCAGCGAACACAAAAGTTGAAACTGTATGGCGTACATATGCTCTGAGCAACATTAACATATAGATTTTTAGGAGAATCTCATAGAATTACGGAACAGTTGAGGTTGGAAGGGACCTCTGGAGGCCATCTGGTCCAAACCCCTGCTCAAGCAAGGCCACTCAGAGCAGGTTGCCCGGGACCATGCCCAGGCAGCTTTCAAAGATCTCCAAGGAGGGAGACTCCACAGCCTCTCTGGTCAACTTGTGCCAGGGTTCTGTCACCCGCACAGTAAAGAAGTGCTGCCTGGTGTTCAAAGGGAACTTCCTGTGTTCTAGTTTTTTGTCCTGTTCCTGGGCACCACTGAACAGAGCCTGGCTCCGTCCTCTTTGCACCCTCTCTTCAGGTATTACTGAAGTCACATTGCTGACATCTCCCTGAGCTGTCTCTCCTGCAGACCGAGCAGCTCTCTTAGCCTTTCCTCTCACAGGAGAGGTGCTCCAGTCCCTTCATCACCCCCCCTAATAATCTCCAACAAGCCAGCTGGCCACTGGCTTTCTACATCTTCCACACTATGTGGACAGGCAATGTAGTCATCATGTTATGGCCTACATCCCCCCATGCAAAAGCTCCTTTGCTTCTATTTGGTTTAAGGTCTTTTTACTTATCTCTACCAGGTATTAAGCATAAAAGCATAGTGAAACTCAAAGAAAAATACTGTAAGTACCAAGAAATAGATGCATATCTTCCTAAAAATATGTCTTATAAATAGCAGTGAGTTGTATTAAAATAACATGAAAATCTACCAACCAGAATTCTTCTCAATAAGACTTTCAGACACCACTGCCTAGGAAGATGATATAACTATCTCAAAAATTGTTCTTTGTACTACTATTCAGTTGATTCAATTACCACAGAATTACATGCTTGTGCTTAGATCTATTAGACTGTTCCACAGCCACGGTGGAAAAGCATTTATCCCCAAGTATTGTGCCTGAAAGGGGAGAAAGACAAGTGTCTGGACTCAAAGATTTCTTGAGTGCTGAAAATATAAACAGTGGCATTGTGGGATTT